GGGGGGGGGGGGGGGTCGTGTCCAGACTCTTATTGGAGGATTTCTATGGTAATCGCGATGAAGCACTCGGAGCGCCGATTCTTACCGGCATGCTGATGATTCGGCACGTATTGCAATGAAAATGGCATCACGTGCTCGATGTAGCTCTGTTCGTGGAGCTCGCCGAAGGAAACGTTCTTGGTCGGCGGCGGCGTCGAGAGCTTCGCCCTGCGCTCGTCCTTGCTTCTCCTCCTCACGCGGCACACGTGTCTCGCGATCTCGGTCTCTTCCAGGATCACGGAGTCGCTCTCTTCGACGACCGGTGGCACGAAACTGTATCGCGTGGCCACTGCGTCGGCCGGCAGAGGCTCCGGGGTCCTGTGGCGCTTCAATAACGGTTCGCTGTCCTTGCCCACCTCGTCGGGGATGCTCTTGCGCCGCGACGCGTCCGCGCCACACGTATGCCTCATATGCGTCATCGTCGTCGTTGTTATCGCCGTTGTCGTCGTTGTTACTAACGATAGCGACGGCGGCGTCATGTCCAACGCCGCCTCAGCGCCTGGAGAAGAGCTCTCCTCGATCGCCTGGCTCGTCATAGCCACTCTTTCGTTGTCGATGATGATTGACGTGGCCTTCGAAAGGGACGCCCTTTTCCTAAAACAAGCACCACGCGACTACCCTGAGGCTGGACGGCAAATCGAGTGCACCGGAGACTTCCGGGACGTGGTCAGTAGGGTGGACGGATACCGAGATAGTTAAGAATTTCGCTCTTTCTTGCTTAAATTTTGAAAAAGAAATTAAAAAAATTGAAAAACAGATAAAATTGTAAGTGATTTTAACGACGTGATATCTACTGCGATCACAGAACACATTTCTGAACTGTATTTTTATTAAATTTTCTTTATATGTCGCGAAATTACCGTTGAATTGTCAATAATCAATCGTCAAACGAAGTAAATAATTTGCTTTTGTCAAATATAATAATTCGTCTGTGCGCGATAACCAATTTAACTACGTTTCGTTAAAGGATTTAGATCTAAAGGTGGAGTTTGATATCAAACGTTACGACGTACTTTGCTACTTGATCCACGTTGACGTAATCACCCTCTGGCTGCGAAACGGTTGACGAGTTCAAGCTACACATTGACATTGAAACATCAGTCGTCTCCGTGGTTATCGACGGTCCTGTCAAATAAGTAAACAAAATTATTAATATCGCGCATTAATAGGCGCACAGTTTGCGATTCACCCGTTATAACTTTTGTTTTAAATAAAACTTTGTAGGTTGAAATATTAAAAAGAAAAAGAAAAGATTTTCAAAAAATTGTCTTTTATGTGAGAAAAATGTAATTAAAGCCAAAATATATTTTAATTAATAACGACTACTTCGAAATACTGTGCAATTCTGCGTTTTTAATTTTATTTAATAAATATAACAACTTCTTTGGGATAAAACAGACCTTTACCTTCCTTCTTAGCTTCCTCCGGCTTCGGGACCGGCAATGTATCGACCATCTCTTGCGTTTCGCTCTCAACTTCCTCGCCCATTCTCCTTAAAAATCCCTGAAGTAAAATACGAGATGGTAAAAAATAATTTTCTATGGTCGCCATGTACACGCTCGATATGACTGCAACATTTATGGATTGAACAATATTGCATAAACATGCGAGCGTATCAGAATAATTTTAGATTATTATTCGCAGAGAGTACTGCACGAAGCAGCAATGACGTCGTGATTACTCATATATAACCGAATTAAGATGGATGGTGCGTTCGCTTTTCCGTTAATCGAAACTCGCTATCGACCTTCCTCAAATTAGTCTAGTGCATGGATGTTTTATTAAACAGCATACATTTTGTCAAGGAGGTATTTTAGTGAAATTGATTTGTTAGACGGAGATAAACGCAGAATAACATAAACAATTATAATTTAAAATATATTATATTATATGATACATTTTCTATTTTTTCCTTATTTTTTTATCTCAAACTTAATTCTTCCGATAGAGCTTAATTTTAGTGTTAAGCATTAAAACCGATTCTAAATTCGTCGTAGAATCTGAAGGAGCAAGATGATTCTACGATAATAGATTCTACGTAACGTATTCCTTGTATAACAAGTTCATAACTCCGATGAAGTAATACTTGCTGTAACGCCGTTTGTGGAAGTTCGATGAATGGAAAAGCTTACCTGAAGCTCGGAATCCTTTTGTAACAATTGCTTCCGGAATTTTTTATTCGTCAGTTTCGCTTCCTTCAAACGTTCATCGAGTTCGCTGACTGTCGAGTCCCTCCGTATCTTCAGCATCGGCCTCAGAGTCGCCCTGGTCCGCTTATTTATCGCCCCTTGTGGATTTCTGCGTAACTCTATTACCTGAAAATCCCATGAGACTTACTTGGCTTCTCTCTCTCTCTCTCTCTCTCTCTCTCTCTCTCTCTCTCTCTCTCTCTCTTCTCGTTGGTCTTACCCCGAGAATAGGATAGATAGAAATGTTTTATTAACTGCTCTAGGGCAAGTCCTTTAAAAACATGCGTATAAAGAAAACACGAAATATGTTTGAAACATTAACTAAAGCAAGTGTATTATAAAATTAACATAAAATAACGGAAGAAAAGAAAATTATATGAAGAAATGAAATGTAAACAGTAAATATACGTATATATGAAAATACTCTCTCTCTCTCTCTCTCTCTCTCTCTCTCTCTCTCTCTCTCTCTCTCTCTCTCGAATATAAATATAAATTCTAAGATTAACACAGTAGATGATTAAAAGGTCTCTCTTTAAATAAGTGTGTCGAATTCCGAGCAGACTCTAAAGGAGAGCTCTGTAGAGATTTTGTTGTAATAAGAAAATTGCTGAAGAGTAAACGCGCGACAAATAGACAGTATTCAAACGAATCAATAGTATCATGCTTAAATGAACGAAAACTTTTGTAAGACCTTAGCGATTTAAAATGAAATCTGTTTGACAAAGTTTCAGCATGGAAAAATGTTAAGCGGAATGCATTCAATTAGCTAATCTCTTCGATCGTCTACGATCGAAAATCGGCCAATTTAAAATGTGAGACGACAAGTGAGGTAAAAAAAAACGTACCTTAGGAATAAAAACCAGACAAAGAGTGGCTGTACTACAAAATATAATGAACACCGCCAACATTATAAACATGGCGTCTTGTTTGTCAGTCAGCACGAAGCTTATAGCTGCACCGGTGACGCACATTATAACAACGTTGTACACACTCATCCCGACGTATTTACTGTCATTTAATGCCGGTATACTAACGTGCCGCGTTTCCCATGCCAGAAAGGCACCAAATATCTGAAAGCGGTGAGGTCAGGTAAGTGCCTATCGTATGCCATTTTATCCGCCAAGGCGCTTAGCGATGCATGCTTAACTTACCATTAAAAGGCCTTTGTATGCATATATGCAAAACAGATAAATATTCATTTGATTGCTCTGACAATATTCATTTTCCGGGATGATTATTATATCTTCGCTGGAAGGGTGATGCTGCAATTGAGAGGGAATTCGCATTTCAATTAACCGACCATTGCCGTGAATTTCTTTCGCGAATTATGATAGAAAATATATAGAAAGAGGAATACATCCGAAATTTATAAAATAAGCGCATGTTTGTTAGCAAACGTATTTTTTGGCGCATATTTTTCTACTCACATAGGGCTCCATTTGTTTTATCGCCCGATAAAACGGATCGGCCACTTGCCACGTTGTCATGATCGTGAGATCGACAGCCAACAATATCCCGACGACCATGAACAATTGGTAATCTTTTATAACCTGAATCACGATATGGGCTCGTTAACGTTGAACACGAAAGTGCGCTCCGTGCTCTCGCTATACAGTCGTTAACGAGTTACCTTTTTATTGAGCTTCACATCAGTGAATATAGAATGTACACGCCACGTTTTCGAAAACATGGAACCAAAGGCCAACGAGAAACCAGCCATCAACAGCCACGCTCGAGCCGTACAGATATACGGGAAAGCCGCTACGCTCGATAATTGCGAGTCTAGTCCGAGGAAGATAACGCTGCTGTAGGTCAGCATACAACCGATGATGATAAGGTTGTTCAGGTGGGGCGATGACATTTTGATGTATCTGTAATATCGAGTTTCGCGTGTGAGCCGCGCTTAGGACCGACTGAGACTGAGAAAGTCTAATCTGGGAGGCAAATGGAGGAACCGTGTTACGCGCGTGTTGCATAATTGTTACATATTACGGCGGAGCCGTCACCTTTGATTTCTGTATCTGATATTGATGGCGAGAAAAATGGATGCCAAGACGATACCGACACTAGCGGCCGAGGCTAGCACCGCGTACAGCGTGATGTCCACGGTGGAGTGCTCGATGATGTGAACCGTCCTGTCTTTCGGCGGCGACTTCCCGTTCCACAGCGAGGCCTTATGTCTCGTCAGATCCAGAACGCCAGTTATGCTATCGTACTCGCCTACGTTTACCTCGCGACCGTCTAAAAAGTTCACATTCGATCAGGAACGCGCACGCCGACAAAAGTAATGTATTTCCTATTTTGTACGTAAGAAGTCACTTATTTCGACACGAGCAATTTTTAATATCCGTATATCTGTATTACTATGAAAATCGAGTCGGTCGCGGGAAATGTACGCACTGATCCGTAAATTACACCACTCATGCGAAATACTCGGTCATCGATATCGAGCAAAAAAAAAAAAAGAAAGAAATAGCACACACACACACACACACCTAATTGAAACTGTTCGGATTCGTATCCATAGCGCGATATAAAAAAATTCTTTTGTTAAATCGAAATTGCATCCGCGCTTTCTACACGACACATTTTTCATTTGAATTCCTTCATTAATTGCTGAATTACAGCCAGTACGCTGAAATTTATTCCGAAATAGATACTTTATCTGTTTAATTCCAAGTGCGAAGTTTTCTCTTTCTCTTTCTTCTTCCCGCACCCGACCCTGTATCAAGAAGTAACTCACCCAGGAATTGTTTTAGAAGAATGTACGCTTTTCTCTCGTTGTCGTAGAAGCGGACCGGTCCCTGCAAAAAAAAATGTTAAATTTCTCACATTCATGCCGCCGTATTATTATACAGAACTGTTACCACAGGCGATCGGGATCGTGAATCGGATTTTAAAATAAAAGCCCGCTCACCGATTCAACTCGCTGCTATCAACTCATGCCAATTTGCCCCGTTAACTCGCCCGGCGGTTTGTCATGTTTTTGATTTCGTTTTAATTTCAATTCGGTTCACCACCGATCGGTCCCATTCTCCCGCTTTGTTATTGCTACCATACATGTGTGCATCCCTTTTTACTAAAACGTGCTCAACCCGTAGCATGGCAAAGCACCGCGTCACGGGTATATATACCCGAATGAAAGAAAGAGAACAAAGAGAAAAATTGTAAAAAAAAAAAAGAAAGAAAGAAGGGAAAAAGAGGCAACTCATTAAGTTTGCCGGTAACGCTCGCACGGTTAGGTGTGTGTAGAAAAGTGATGCCTGCGCTTGAAGACACTTGGAGTCGGACAAAAAGACGGTCAAGTGTAACACGCGCGGCAGTGCGAATGTTGATTACTGAGAAACACAGCCTGTGTTCCTTCGCATCTCTCTCTGTCCGTGACAGGCACAAAGTGTCGGGCAGCTCGTCGTTACCAAGCCCACGCACACGACGATCGAAAGCAAGGGTTGTCGCTGGTCTAATGAGAGAATGTAAAGACCCGTTCTCCAATCTTCACCCTTCTTTATAAACGTCTTCCTCTTCTTCTTCCTTATTTTCTGTCGTCTTTTTAAGCAAGTTACTCTCGGTTCTCCAATGCCCGGGGCAGTCTCACGGCAACAATAGATATCTCAATGCCCTCGACACAAATAACAACTTGGCGAATTGGAGCTAAGTGACGCGAATCAATCGAGCGCGGAAAGAGAAATATTTTGCTTCGAATTACGGAAATTATCGCTAAAAGGCTAAAACTAAAAATGATAATCCAAGCGAAATTCTCTTTCCTCCGTGAAATACAAATGTACGTCGCAAAACGGTATGAAACGTCTTCAGAATTTACTAGGGCGATTACACGAAAAAAAAAAATTATGTAAACAGAGATTTTTATTTCAATCGAGAACGGCCGCATAGCTATGAGAAGTAAAAATCTTACAATTTTCATCCAAAATTCTCATTGCGACCCAAATATAACAAGCGATATACAATATTAATATTATAATTTAAGAAAAACAAAAACGGAACACTTAAAAGTTAAATTATATATTTGTAGTGTACAATATTTTCAGAACGTTTTCAAATTCAATAATTTAATATTAAGAAAGTTATCAGAAAAATTAAATTTATAAAACATTAAAAAGTCTTAATCTGTCTTGCAGTACCTAACTTTTTAGATATCTTTTAGAAACTCGTTAGCAACCGATGGCGTCAACGAAAAGTAGAAAACTCTAGGAAAATCGTTACGTCAGTAATTCTGTTTTAAAAATTACAGTAACGATTTTCCTTCCTAGAATTTTCCGTTTATCGGTTATAGTAGAAATCGAAATAGCAAATACACGGATTAGAATTGTAATATCTTTTTAAAGGCTGTTTTTAAAACTGTTCGTTAGCGATAAAACAGGAGCGGAAAACTCGAGTAAGATGACATTTTTGTCATTTTACTTATCCAAGATGGGACCTGCCCAGAAAACTGCTGCTGCAGCTTTTTACTCTCACTGTGTGGCACGTTCTATAATGGCGTTCGTTTTTAGCGCTAAGGGTTTTATGTCGAATGACATTATCCGGTTTGTGTTCGGCGCACGAGGGGGAAGGGGCGTCGCTGCGGCGCGAAATTGCGTGGCGGGCCAAGCTTACCGTGACACCGTCGAAGCTTGTATTCCTGAGGGCATCGAGGAAGAGCTTCTCCCACAATACGTCCCTGTACCGAAAGTCGGATATAGTCTGGTTACGATGGAAGTGTCGTATCCTGCGCGCGACATGTTTCACAGCCAGCGCGACCGTCCAGATACCATCGTAGGTGTAACCGTGGAACCTGGAGTACTCGTTACCCCGTCTCGAATCGTACTCTTTCCAATACTGGTCCGGGGTCTGAGGGGGTGAAACACGCACACATAAAATCGAATAGAGAGACGCAACAGGCGGTGCCCTCGCGTATGACGAATCTCAAAGACTCGCCGTATATACAGTCGGGTTTCCATTTGAATCGTTTCTCGATCGCTCCGAGGCGCGATTAAACGCAATTTTCGGGGATTCGTATTCCATCAGAAATGCAATCGAGCGGATATGCATACCTACGTACGATACTCGGAGTATCGTCCTCCATCTGCGGATTCTGCAACCAATCTGAATCGCGATTCTTCCGTAATCCTTTTAGAAATCGTATTCAGCTATTCGCGTGGAACGGAAGAAATAACATTACGTCGCGTTTCTGCCGAGGAAAGGAGACCTCGGATATGATTGAATTACATTTTAACGATCTTCCGACCAATTCTGATTTCGGGATCGAGTAATTTTTAAATTGAATACGAACCCGGAGCGATCCCGCGTGGATTTAATCGAAAAACCAACAGTAAAAATTTCAATGCGCGGTTCACTCACGATTCCGGACGTGGTGTGTTGCTCCTCGGTCGTCAGCGGGAGCAGATCCGTCAGGATGACACCGTGAAGGGCCTCGGACAGCTCGGAGGGGGCACATCCGCCACCCGGGCGCAACCACCACTCTCTGGTGTAAGTCCCGATGATGACCCACTGATACTTTCTGCCATATAAGCCAAACCTGTAAGCCTCACAGAATATCCGTCTAGCCCACGCCTCGTTGAAATTTCCCAGGAGGATCCTCACGTCTCTTTCTTTAAGCTTTTCGAGCGCCGTTGTCACCTCGGTGGCAAAGCTCTGCGTCTCCACAAGCTCCATTTTGCTCTCATCCAGGTCGGCCACCAACCGATTGTGCACCTGGAAAGAAGATTCGCAGGGAGAGTGCGGAGAGAGAGAGAGAGAGAGAGAGAGAGAGAGAGAGAGAGAGAGAGAGAGAGAGAGGACTCCTGCAACTTTCAATCCAAATGCTTATCACGTGCCATAACGTGAGCGCATTCGCGCATTTAGCTTGTTCAAGCAGGCCGCTAGCGACGGCAAATCTCCATTTATAATGTAAATGGAACAGTTGCTACATATACATCACCCACGCCCGCGAGTGCACGTGGAGAACGACGCGCTCTCGCGACGGGATTAATTAACCCTTTCATTCCCTCGAATTGCTTCCAACTGTCGAGAATCGCTGTTTGAATCACTTTCTTAATGGTATCTAACGCGTGGAAAATGTACAAGAAGGTCTTGAGATTTTTCAAGATTTCCTATTTTTCCTTTCATGTACACCGAATTTTTGTATCGCGAACAAAGGACAAGGTATTCGCTGAAGAAACGGAATCCAAGTTATTAAATTTAATTATGCTTGTGATAAAAAGGAAACTGCAGAAAGTACCCTTTCGAAGTCGTACCTAAGTTCACGATATAGTAAATTATTTTAAATTAAAAAAATTTGATTTCTCTCTCTCTCTCTTTTTTTTTCTTTTTTTTTTTCATTTCAGTTTTACTACCAGACAAGTACTCTCTCGATCGCTGCATCAAAATTAACTTTACCAGCGAGTATCTGGGCTCGTTCTGATAAATCGTGCCGACCCGGGTCCAGTTGAAATGCAGAAGCAACGCCACTCGCGGTGCGTTGAGGGCGTTTTCCGACGGCACGACCCTAAAGAAATTCGGGAAGCTATTGGTTGTGAACATAGGATGGGTGTCCGCGTAGCTGAGCTGCAACAATAAGAGTAGAGAGCGAATGTTGATAAAAAAAATCATATCTCCGTGTTTATTTCTGTTCTTTTGACATCCCCCTCAATGCGTGTGCACGTGTCCGTGTGTTAGTATGCAAATAAGCAAAAAGAGCAAGCCGGGAAACTGTTCTCCCGCAAGTCATGAATATTTACGACGACGTTTTACCGTCGCATTACCTGCGTAAGGCGCCAGTGTTTCGAGGCTTTCGCTATCGGATCCGTGACTTGTGTGCAGGCTCCGCCGAAGAGTATCACCTTGTGCGGCCCGTTGTGCATCATGTCGAAGAACGCCTTCATCCCGACGGCGGCACTGCACTGCAATATATGCGATTTATTACCTACGTCCGTTTCCCTTAATATTTCGCATTACGAAAGTGTGAAATTTCAAGGCAATCTCAAGAAACGTCTGGTGGAAATCAAGAAAATATCCGAGATACGAGAAAATGAGAAGTACTTTGGAATCGCAAAAAATATTGGGCGTAATATGGCGAAATGCGTCATATGTTACTTTTTCCCATGTTTTCAACGGTTCATGTTTGCTTTCAAGATGAAAAGTGATCATTTCTTATATCGAAAATCTTCTTTGATATTTGCAGAATCAACAAGTGTTTGTTGGTGAACAGCCAGAAAATAGAGAAGAGCGGAGAATAGAATGCCAAATCGGCGGGGAGAGAAAAATATTATCATAATATCGGCGTTGTTCTAATTATCGAAAGATTAGTCCGAAAGCTTGAGCGGGATTAAAATTGTGTATTTATAAATGCGAGTAACACACTCACACACACACACACACACACACACACACACACACATACACACACATTCTTCGATTTTATTTACCTCGGAGAGGAAGCGTAGAGAACTCGAACTATTCGTATTATAATGAGTTTTTTTTTAATAATAAAAATAGGAAAAGTATTTTAAATATTCCGTCGAAGGAAAAACTTTGTTCTCAAAAGTTGAATTTTTGCTGGAATAAATATAATGCGAACGGATAGAATGCAAGCGCTTCGTGCGTTGTAGTTGAAATAACAGTTAAAGCAGGAATAATCTTTGAGCTATGAGTTATCTTGGCGACAGACGATCATTGGGACTGACATCGCATATTCCGTTTGAGTCGCGATGTCTACATACTCCTTTGATATCAGCACCGTTTCGAGCGTTCTTTTTCACATGGAAATTGATTCCAACGTATCGCTACATTCTCTTTGCGTTCACCGTGGATGACCCCGTTCCGAAGACAAGATGGAAAAGGATATAATTGTACAGATGAAAATAGGAATTCTGACTGGACAGAAACGGAACGGGTCCCTACCTGCGTACGAAGCGCTGAATCTATTATGAGCACAGTCTGAGATTTCCACACGAAATCAATCAAGATTATTTTCAAAATAGATACTTTCGCGCCGGGAACATTTTCTGAATCGCTCCCCCGTTACTGTTGCGCCATTATATTTTTCTCCCATGCATTTTCCGTCCTCATAATTCCGTCGCAAGCTACTTACAGTATCTCGGGTTAATTCTTTATTTAAAAAATTCATAAAGGTGAGCGCGACTGTCCTTCGCAAATTTTTTTTAAATTATATCCACATTTACCGCTACTTAGAAGATTCCGTCTCACGTTTATTGCACGTCCCCTCATTTTGTTTTACATCGATTTCCGATACATTGGTTATCACGAGGCAGAGATAAAAATCCGTCCTTGGAAATTATGTTACGAGATAGATTCGTGCAACTACGAGGAAGAACTCGTAAGTTCATTAGTCACCGTTTAACAACACCGCTCCATAGCAGAGATCTGAAAAGAAGAAGCTGGTAAGAAGAATAAATTCGAGCCTGCTTCAAATACGAAGTGCTATGGAAACGAGAAGAGGTCATCATTTTATCGATCTCGAACAATAAGGGCTGTATCGTCGCAGCGAATAGTAAAGAATAATCTATTGTTACGAAAGAGAAGATGGCATCAAGAAGAGATATCTTTGCGCTTAGACGTCTCGGGTTAAATCACGAATGCGATATCGATTGAACGGAGCGGAGAGATAACTTAATTATGCGATTGCGTGTCGTGGAACGCTCATGCGGAAAATTCGACGCGTCGATTTCCAGCGGTAATTTCTTTCGCGAAAGAAAATGGAAAGAATTAATTTTAAACTGCATCGCTCGATTACACGGTTGAATTAATCAAATCCGATGCGCATCGATTGGCGAGCAAAAAAATGCTGCTCACAGTGAAAGATGTACGAAAATAGCCAGTCGCGTCTACACGCGTGTTTACTGTAACTACTGGTAGCGCACTTGAAAATACCACGTGGTCTCTCCGATTGTCTACCGATTGTGGAAAACCAGAAAAACACTGCTCGCAATATCCTTTCGGCAAGTAGTCGGAAGCGATTAATCTTTCCAGTCTTTGTACAAGCTGCTCCACTTTTTGTCGTTAGCTCTGCTTCCTCCGGGGGCTAACTTGGAGACTCTCTCATAATTCGATATGTCTGGAAGTCTCAGCGATTTTCCGAGCATAAGCGCGCGCAGTGTCGTAAATCGCGACACGATTCTCCGGGTTCAGCGAACGAGAAATTATGTTAAAGAAAAAAAAAACACTGTTTCACGGCTATTTACCTTCCATTG